GTAGATGGCTTAATTTCCTCAAAGTGGAGGATGTCTAACCCTCTGAGTATTTGCAGCAAAGTAAAACACAATTCCCCGAATCTTCACTGTGCAGAGGTCTGATTACCCACTTAGAGAGGATTACAGTCATTTCGCTGCCCATTTTGGTGCTCTTAGCCCCCTTTCAGAGGAGCAGCTGGGTTACAACAGGTCAAGCTTCTCTATTTGATGTTGAATTAGTAAATGCATTACAGGATATGCATACATACGTGATTTAGCCATCAAGAGATAATTAGTGGATCTCACTTTGCTACATAAACAAATGATATGTCCTTTTCTGGAAATGTGCAAAGTACACATGAATAAACCTTTTTCCAACTTAAATGAGACAAAAGTTAAATTAATAGAAGGTTATTTGGGGGTTGAATTTTTTTTTCCCCCACCCCGTTTTTCCCTTGGCAAAGAAAAGTGAGCCACTAGCTAGTACCTGCCCGTGGTTCCACGGTTCGATTGCCATTTTGGTCCATGAAGACAAATCGTCCGCCGGTGAAGTCTGAGCCGTAGTCAGACAGGTACAGGAGAGATGTGTAGTCGAACGAGCCATACGTCTCCTAAAAGACAGAGAGTTGAGGCATGACTGACCCACCAAACAGCTGAGCACATTTTCACAATCAGAATCAGCCTTTATTGACAACATCGGACATGAGTAGACAGATGCCATAGAACTCAAGTAGTGGAGTCTGAAGGTTGCAAATACACACCATGTTTGTTGAGGGAATTGCTTATTGCTTACTTTGAAACAACTGTACTTGCTAATTCCAGGTCTTTCTGAAGGTTTCCACAGGTGGGACTCTTGACACAAATGTAACGGCTTCAACGGATTATGTCCCCTAACGTGCTCACTGGGACCTTAAGTCGTCTAGAAATTATTCTCCAACCAATCAAATCATGTTGGTGAGCTGCCCTAGCGTCCCTACCACCAGGCCTGTGCGTCTTTTCTTCATGTGTTCAATATGTCTTCCCTGTGCCAATAGCTTTTTAAAACATTACTTAAATTTGTATAGTTTGATTTCTTTGCTTGCGTTGACCGAATGGGTTGTCGCCGACATCTGTTGAGAATTTCATGTCAATCGCATCTTAAAAACTATATTTACCGAGGGAATTATCCAAGTCACACCTGGACTAGACGATCCCATCCTGATTCTGTAAAACTATTTGTCATTTGCAAAACTTTTGCTAAATTTCTGAACACAGAGAAAGAAGCAGATTCCTACTTTTCCCCCAAAATATTGTTAAAATCTCAGCTCTTCTTGTGAAATGGATGTATATCTTCACCCTCATCGTTCAGCATTGGGAAAGAAGTTATTAAACTACGCCGTTTTGCTAATGCAGAAAAACATGTGGCCACCGAAAACAAGGCAGGCCAAATTTTTATACGGGATGGAATCGCTGTCAAGTGCGGAGTGGTCACATATGTGTAATTGATCCAAGCAGAAACGGAACATCTGGACAGACTTGTGCAACATTGGGCTCAAATGTGGTTTCCAAGTACTTCTAATGGCGTTGCAACATAAAAAGAACAATACTGAGTAGATTTGATCTTGGTGTGAAAGACCGGCAGTGGTTTAGCTGAAAGTGAGAGTGTGGAGTTGTGTAATAACTGGCGTGGACAAAGACAAGCTGCCTAGCAACAATAATAGTGGTCATTACTGAAGTATTTAGTAGAAACTGAAATGGGTTATGAATTGCTGGCACCACAAACCATCTCCAGAAATCCTTTGCAGCATTTTTTGCAAGATTGAAAGCAATCATTCATATCGTTTAGCCCTTGCTCGCTGCCCTTTTCCATATACAATATGAAATGAATGCTTCGGGTGTAAAATATTAAACTATACATTTTACAACACGGCCTTTTTTCAATAGAAAGGAAGCTGTGATTAACGCAGAACCCACTTTTCCGACAAGTAAATACTTGTAATATAAATGAATAGCAGCCTGTGTGGTATGAAGGCCATAGAAATGCTTCACAATTCAGGTTGAAATGCTTTGGAGTGCCTGTTGAATTCGTTTAATTATTTCCCATTACTCCCAGAGAAACATTGCTGTCGCCTTTAAGGAACGATCAAGCGAAAGCAATGAAACAAGACGCTGAAGTGGCTTCAGTGGAATTTGAAACGGTTCAACAGATTCTTTGATCCGCCAATAAGACTACATGCCATTTTATATGCTGGGCTTTCATGGGAACAAGCAGTGCTTGTTAGAGCTCTTGTGGGTTGCGCAACGTAAACAGTTCACGTCGCATTATTGAACTGCTGCTGTATCACAAAGCAGGTCTCTCTCTTCTGTGGCCATGTATGAAGAGCTAATTAAATGTCCATTTCTTCTTAAAATATGCAATATTCCTCCTGCCTAATTAATCCCAAAGGTTTTGTAAGGAGGGGAATTGGGAGCCAAGTTAAGCAAAGTACTATCTAAGAAGGCAAAGAAAATGTATTAAAAGTTGCTGACGTAGTGACTACGAATATATGGTTAATTTACTGCAATGCAGATGTGTAATATATTAAATGCTGTACGTGTTGCTTCTTTAGATCAAATAAAAAGTTTTCACTCCTTATGCAAATAAGGACACATGTCTTCTCATGGCAGGGTGAATCCGCGCGCCGCTGCCACATTGCAGGCTGGTATTACAAACGCCACTTCAGCCAAAGTTTTGAAATCGGGGAACATTTCCCTATTCGAAGTGATCCGAATTCAGCAGGATCTCGAGAATCCTTGTTTTAGCGGGAGGAATATGCACTCCTTCTGTACCAGTGGTTCGGATAGGCTGGTCCGAAAGCCTGCATAACTCTTCAACGTGCCTTTAGCACAATAAGATGCGTCGAGGTGAGAGTTAAAGCTCAGATGGGAATCTTTTTTTTTGTTGTCGTTAATAAAAGAGTGGAATCTATCTTTCCTGCAGAAATCAGAACATTTTTTGAGTCAAAGTGTCTTTTTGTAACTTTATCAGCCAATATTGAACTGCATCTAAACCCGTCTGGAAAGTCTTGAATGAATGACAAAGAGGTGTATAAAACTCATCTTTGGTTTGGTTTCATTATGACAGTAATCCAAGTTCTACTAAGAGGATGGCTGAGGCTATTATGCAGCTCTGATTGGCTATCAACTGGAGCTTCCCTTCCGCAAAGAGACGAGGCTGGGTCAGGAATGTCAATGTGTCGGCATAGTTTAGAGCCAAGTCCATCTCTAAACCATAAACGACAAACCCGTCTCTCTGCTGTCACACTTCAACTGTAGCTCTGACACAATATCAACTTAATGATCGATGGGCAAAAGAAAAAAAGCCACCACTAAAGACGTCAGAGGCTATTTGCATGTAAATGAGGGTAGGGTTGTCCAACTGACCTCAGAATAGTGGCAGAGACAGATGGCGAAGGGAAGAGGCATTTTTCTTTTGATTAGATCGTTTCCTGTTGCTGAGAGCCAGAAGGACATGGTGAAGAGGCAAATATTAATATGTTTGTAAAAGTCAACACAGGATATTTGACAACACAGAGGGTGAAATGGAAGCAATCTAGAAATGAGGCAAAGAGAACAACAGTCGTCAAGGTGTTGTGCTGCTTTTCTAAACGAGAAAAACAGGCCAATAGTGGGACGGACGCCTCGACAAACATCAATAAAGCAGAAAAATAGTTTAACATTAAGAATCCCAAGTCCATTACAGCCAATACCAATGACTGTATTTATTCTGTTTTAGTCCAACTGGTTGAAGAAATGATGTTTGATTTTCTACTATTCTCTTAAAATGATTAAATCAATGAATCAGTCACATATATTTCATTTTAGATTTTTAAACATTTCATTTTACTCTAAAGAGACATTCTTTTCAGCCAAAATGTTCTTCAAACCTCAGAGAAGTGAATGTCTTCAGACAGTAGACGAGGTGGAGAAGACTTTAAAAGATCCAATTCATGAATTCTGATGAAAGCTGAAGCATGTATGATGTGAACAGCTTCAGAAAACAACATTAAAAAGTAACCTGCAAGGATGAACAAAATGACGAAAGAAGGAAGGGTTTGCAGTTATTTATGTTCATTTATATTCATATTACAATATAAATGTTTACTACAAATTTGTGACACATTTTTATATAATAGGCAAATATTAAATGTGAATAATCTGGTATTACAAGCGCCACTTCAGCCAAAGTTTTGAAATCGGGGAACATTTCTCTATTTGAAGAAAGAGAGGAAAGAAGTGAAGAAAGCAAGTATGGAAACCAAGAAGAAAGGAACGGCGCAAGAAAGAAAAGAGACAAAAATTACAGAGAAATATAGGGAGGCCGGATGGAAGAAAGAGAGAAGTAGAGAAAGAAGTAAAGAAAGAGACAAAAAAAAAGAAGTGAAGAAAGTAAACAACAGTAACCATACTCCATTTTCCCCCACATATTGCCTGAACCTGTAAAGTGACTCAACCCCAGGCTTTTCCAGCCGACACAGCAGCTCTGGAAGCAGTGAGGTCACAAACCTAAATCTGTGCTGGCTTATCTGCGGCCAAGCAAACTCGCGGCTCTGCTTTTGTCCGTTACCTTATCGATGTGTGGGTGCCAGTACTCGTCATGCTGCGTCTTGGCTCCGGTGCTGTTGATTCTGGAGAAGAAGGTGGGCTTGGTGAGGTACATCAGGGTTCGGTCCAAGCCGAACGTCTCGGCAATGACGGCCTGGATCCGGCCCCGCACATCTCTAACGGTGAAAAATGGGAGAGACGAGTCCGAGGTGAAAGATGATTTCAGTATGATTTATGGTTCCTATACACTGACAGCCACAGTTGTCTGAGAGACATGCTCATACCTAAATATTCTACATTCATTTTAATTTTTTTTCCATCCTAACAGGCAAAAAAGGTCTTCATACTTTTACTTAACCATCCCGCAGAATGGTCCAGTGGACCCTGTACGAGCCTTTTACCTCTTATGCACTTTTATGAGTTTGCAGGGGGGGCGCGGGAAGCCCAGGAAGGATGAAAAGAAGAAAAAAAAAAAAAAAAAAAAAATGAACACTGTATGCGCTGGGTTTTTACCTTAGAATGGCCAACTCTGTTATTCCTATGTCAATTTGATACAGTAGGGGCTTCTGCACTTCCCATATCTGTGTCCTCAGTCACTTTTATCAGCAGTTAAAACAATTTAATTCGTTAACATGTCGTAACCTGTTTTTCCGAGCCGCCTTTAAACGCAACATGAGCGCTATGATGCTTGCGCTGGGTTTACACAGTGAAGGTGACCTGCTGCTGCTGTGCGGAGCTACGCAGGAGTGTTAGGATCACGGCAGCAAACCAGCAAAACGTAAAGAACTTTTCACAGTTTTTCCCCCAAACTAACCGACTGTTGAGTAAAGCTGCTGGATGCAGGTAAAGTTAGCTAAAAGATGACTAGCTAGCTAATATCAATACAGGACCTTAAGCTTGTTAACAAGTAGCTTGTAGGCTACAGGTGTTGTTGTCTATGTTCAGCTACGATTCATTTTGCCCCCAAAAAAGTTGGTCCCCCCCCGTTCGTCTAGAGCCGGGGCTGAGTATAACGGGGAGTCTCTAAGAATCCGCCCTCCACCCTCTTCGCTCACACACACCGTTCAACCAGACAGCTATTTGTAAGCCATAGGGGGGCCCCAGAAATGGTTTGGAAACCACTGGGGGGGCCCAGGAGAAAAAGTTTGGGAACCACTGCTTTATAGTCACCTGTAAAGCTTGAAATCCTCTTCTGTGAAGACATCTGCTATCTGTTCCCCAAAATACCTGCAGCGGAACCGCATGGCCACAGGTCACCGACACACAGGACAGAGAGGGGGAAAAATAATATGATTGTAGTATAAATAGTTTCTCTCCTGAACACAGCTGCACTCCAAAGTGTTGCAGTCAAACATTAAAGCAGCAAATTTTAAGCAAGCAACTGACAGAAAGTTTTGATTTTTGAGTGGAAACTGTTAAGTCAGCATTTCCTGATTAAAATCTGAGAACCCTCTCAGTTCTCTGAGAACCCTCAGGTGTCGGCCCCCTGCCGGGTGGGACAGGTGGATGACACCTGAGGGGGCATTTGAGAGCGGACGATACGAATAAAGTCAGATTCCGACAGGAGTGATGAATGACGCTGGGATGGGGTCACTGGACTGGTGGCTGACCTCACGGTGTGAAATAGAAATATCACTGAAAACTCTGAGAACCCGTCAGAAAACGCTAAGATGGCCAAATAAAGGCAAGGTGCGACTTCCCACCTGTATATGTTGACAAACTGTTTCCCCATGGACAGAGCTCCAGAGTGAAGGTCCAGTATGGAGGCCTGCAGGGAAAACACATATTACACAGTTCAGTTCAACTACAGTAACATGTGTGACGAGATTCAATGCCAATCAATCTCCGGCGTTTTTATTTTTTCCGCAGATTGTTGCCCTTTACTTGTTTACTTCTCATCAAATCTTCTGGGACAAAACACGTCCGTTTCTCAGAGGCCGCTTTGCTGCTTTTAGTTGCTTCACTCAAATATCTGAAAACTCTGTAAAAAGCTTCCATCTCAGCTGATGTCTCCTCGCTCCGTTTTTCTCAGCACCTCTTTATGCCGGGGATACTGTACGACACCGCCCTCTACAGGTGTAAGGTGCAACTTGAACGGATCGAAAATGCCTCCATTTAAATCTGAGGTTGTGTTCCCCAGCAGAAATCTACCGCAATAGGAAAGAAGTCAAAATATTAGCACGATAAAGACACAATATTACCAAAAGAAAAGTTGTTTAAATGAGGAAAAAAAAAAACACTTGGATAGTTACAAAGATCCTACGTGACCAACTCGTCTAGTCTGTGATTTTTTTTTTTTTCAAATTGCACAATCGTTTCAAAGTCTTGAAACTGATTAGAATTTTATTTTTATATCATTACTATTTTACTCTCGTAATACGATTTATTCTCGTGTCATTATGACTCACTACAACTTGATTCTCATGACTTTTTTCCATATGATTTTATTCTCGCATCAATACGTTTTTCTCATATTACAACTTTATTCTCATGACTTTTGTCGCACGGCTTTATTCTTGTACACTGAAAAAAGTGTGATCAGGGTTAAGTAATATTTACTAAATAAATAAGAGCAAACTATAC